TCGTTACATTTGCTATCAATTATAAAGATTCAACGCATCTATCATGATTGTTCATCCATACATTTCACTCATAAATCACTCGATTTGATATCCGCAAATCAAGTCCATCATAGAAAAGCAATGAAATTTGATTATTACTAGTGGATGAAAAACATGTTAAAAGAGGAGCTCTCAAATGTTGGGACGTTTAATTCATTATTTTAATAAAATTCACTATTATATATTAGAGGATTAATTACAACTTAAATGTAGGATTCTTTTTATCATAAAGAGCTTATTATCATACTTTAGGATAGACACGCACAAAGGTCGGGCTATGTTTTTAAATTTAAAGTTCTATTTAAAATTATTTGAAATGATTTTACGCGTAAATATTATATTTGAAAAATGAGTTTGAACAAAAATATTAAACATATATAAAATATGGGTCCAATCTAAGGAGCCGACCTAGTCCAGCTTAGTTTCTAAATTTATAATATATTGTATAAACTTATATCATATAAAAATTGAATCTATAATAATATGATATTAAAAATATTAAGTTGTGCATGTTTAAAAAGGTAAAAAAAAAGGGGTTAAATTTATTAAAAGTGAAAAAAATAACATAAAAAAATAAACTATACAAAAATGAGATTGATTTAATCATTTACTAATAATGGTAGGTTTGAAGAAAAATCTAAATCTCATAGTTTATGTCGAACTAGACTCACACTAACATCAAATGTATTAATATGATAAAATAAACTTGATTCGAACCTGATCAGCCCATGAATATTTTTAGTTCAAATTCACAAGATCAAAACATGTTAATGATCTCAAAGGTTAAAATAAATACTTGCATATCAACTAAGAAAAATGAGACTACTAGTAAGATTTTTCTTTTGAACAATTTGATACAATATTAAAGTTACTTAAATCTCTTCCCATCTATAAATTGAAGGATATTAAGAGTTTTGACATATTCAATCTAAATTCTCTTATGTATTATGCAAATAATAATATCAACGGAACTAAATTTAGAATAAACTACACTTTTAATATTTAAACTATTAGTTTCGTTTTGTTTCAGTACCTAAATTTTTATTTATTTCAAAATTATACCTAACATTTACAGTTTGTTTCATTTTTAATGTCTGACCGGACCCATGTATTTCCATATTCGCGAGCCTTTTATTCTTAAATGTTATTAGAATGTAAAGTTCTTCAAGTATAAAAGGAGAAAATGGCTTCCCCAAAAAGCTTGCCTCTTTATTGTTCTTTGGACATGGAAAAGGTACATTCATGCAAATTTGAGAGCCACGTAAAGGTACACAACTTTGTTGGGAGAGGGGGTTGAGCCATGCATGTGGACCATGACCATAATTTGGAGCTAGTATTTATCATAAAGTACAAATGATGTTATTGTGGGATCCTACCTAAAAAAATGAACTATGCGGCCATCATGCCTTGGTTCCATCTCACACCCACAAACATACCATGTGACATTTCTCTCTTTTTTATTTCACTCGGTAATTTCCTTCCCTTTCCCTCGGTCACCTCTAATCAGATTTCATTTCGCTCATAAATCAAAAGACAATATGTGTTTAAGTACAATTAGATTTTAATCTTTAGAAATATTTAATTATAATTATATTAATTGGATTAAGATTTCATTATTCATACTTTTGAGATTTAAATATAACTTTTTGAATAAAAAATATTAAGTTGAGAGGCCGCCACAGCCCACATGCATAATAACTTCTATAATACTCGGATCTAAATTAATCAATCAAGATATCGAAAAAAATATTAATAAAAATAGAGAAATTATAAAATGCAGCTTTAGTTTGGTTTAAGAAAATATTTATTATATAATTTTTGAAATGTGAAAAATTATTTACAAAAGTGAATAAAAAACTAAATGCTTTTGAATAACCTGGAATGGTTCTTGCAAATATAGATGCTTGAATCTGAAGCCTTTTAAGGAGAACACATTCCTTTTTACCAACCACTTGATGAGTTCAAATCAATGAATAATATAAGGTAGTATTTGTTCAAAAACTTCTAACCCTTTGACAATAAACGTTTATATTCATGCATATGCAGTGCTCGAACCCGATATTTCAAAAAATAATAATAAATTCCTTAACCACTGAAGCCATTTAATTTCGTGCGTAAAATAATTATTTTTAAATAAAGAACAATGTTACCGATATTTAAAGATAAAATTAATTTAAATAAGCATAAGTTATGGGTAAAAGTAGAATAATTTTTATTTTAATAAAAACCTAAAAATGAGTTGATTTTTTATTTCAATAATTTTAATTTGAATGATCAAAAATTTTTAATCAAAAGAAAAATCCAGTGACAAGTTGTTTCAATACAAAAGGCGAAAGTACCTACTTGGTTTGCCACTGGTACATTTTCCGTTAGAATCAATTTTAACTGTTCTAAAACCGCAACCCAGGACAATCAATCATTCCACCATTTGTCATATACATTAAAAATATAATTTTCATATTTTAATTTAATATGATTTGATCTCTCTATTTTTATAATATCATCATTCATTTCAAACAGTAACAACGTTAAGTATTCAAGTTGAAATATTTATGTGGACCAACAAGTATGGAGTGCAGTAACGGAAAGAATTTAGCTTCGAATTTTGAAGTAGATATTATTAAGAAAAACAACTTTAAATCTTAAACATAGATAATAAAATAAATATTAAAGATAGAGAAAATGTTAGTGTGATTTTTTTTGTAAAAATTATAATTTCATAATTTTTTTATATAATCACGTAATAATATAAACATGATAACAATGAATGTAAATAATCATAAATTATTAAGAAAAACAACTTTAAATCTTAAACATAGATAATAAAATAAATATTAAAGATAGAGAAAATGTTAGTGTGATTTTTTTTGTAAAAATTATAATTTCATAATTTTTTTATATAATCACGTAATAATATAAACATGATAACAATGAATGTAAAATAATCATAAAATAAAGAATATCAATATTTAATATGGAAAGATCTTTTCGGAAAAAACCACGAACAGAAGAAAAAATTCAAATAATTTACGTTTAAACTTTATTTAGGATTTAATCAACTTAAATCCAAATCATAATCCTTAATATCTAGCAATAGTGATAGGTTTCTCGCTTACAAAGAAAACTTGTATAGAAATAAACTTACTTAATATCAGAATTGATGTGTTAATCATAATCCTTAATATCTAGCAATAGTGATAGGTTTCTCATTTTTACATTTACTTTAAGTAAGTTTCTTCTTAATCATCTCGGATTCAATAAAAAAGAATTTAGGTCACACATTTTTAACACATCATAATGAGTTGAAAGGCTATTTTAAAACAAATTTTTATATCAATATTTTAATTGAAGTGGCTAACAATATTATCTAAATTGGACTAACTAATGACAACATAAAAGGAAAGAAACAAAGTAGAGAGTTTTTTTTAAGAAATCACTAATTTTATTCAAAATAATAAATATCTTAAATTTTAATAAAAAATTATAATTATAATCGTAAATTAAACACATAATTAGGACACTTTTATATAATCATTGAAACATAACTAGCAACTTAATATCACATAAGGACCATACAAAGAAAGATTAAAATATAACCAAGAAAACTTAAACAAAGATAGATACAAACATATCTGATTGCATCAACAAACGAACTACAAAAGGGGATCAAACTACTGAAAGACTATCGACAAACCGCAAATCAGATTCGAGTGAGGTGAAAAACTATCAACGAACACGTAATAGGTATTCAAATATAATTTGAAGATACAAAGTAGTAAAGATCAATAATATAACATATAAATATCATCTTGATTAGTTGTAACGATGTCTAATATACCTTTAGAAAAATATATGTGAAAATAACGGCTAAAAGACCGAAAAACGTGCCAAAAAACAGAAGTAAACATGCCATACAGACAAAGGAAAACGTGTCATACAAACATACTTATTGAAATTAAAAAAAATAAGAAAAAATAAAAGGACAATAAAGAATAACGTCAATCGACCACCAACATTAAAGTTGATGTCCTCCCATATCAATAAATATATATAAAAAATATGAACAATTTACCAATAAGAGAAAACTAGATATATGGTATTTTATTTCTTTAATTTTTTTTAATATAGAAACAAACTAAAACTAAATTAAAGCTATGGGGATAAAATGCCAAATTCGAATATAGTATATGTATCAAAAATCAAATTCGACGTAAAGAAAATAAAATACAATTATGAAATTAATCAATTTATAGATCGTGTAATTAAACCCTCTGCCTCTCACCGACTTGGCCAACAAAATATATATCCGTACCTCACCCACTACCGCCCCACAAAAGGAAAACTAACAGATGCAAGGGAAAGATGAAAAAAATAAGGGGAGACAGAGCTCTGCGTCCCTGGCTTGCAATGGCTACCATCGATTCTTAGATCTCTAAACCCCATCAATTTTTGTTTGTTGTTTGCATTTAAAGGTTCTCTGGATTTATTTCTCAAGATTCCTTCTTATTTTCTTTTTCAAGAATCTAAGGTAACTGCTGATCGGAGCTTCACTGTACTTCTTTTGGAAACTTTTTTGCCTTTCCTTTTTATTGTTTGCTGCAGCTTCATTGAGCTTTGTTTCTGACGAGGATTCAACATTTCGGTTCTGTTTGATTTCAGTTCCGGCTGGTTTCGATTCGGTTTCCTTCTGATTTTGCCTGCATTTGACGTTCTAGTTCATCTCCGTTGTTTTGCTGATTGTTTCGGTACTGTTATCCTTTGATTCTTTCACGTCCTTGACATCTTGAGTAAAATTCGAATGCATTTTCTTTTCTCATTTAAAGATTCTCTAGATTTTTCTCTCAAGAACGGATACCGTCGATTTTTAGATCTTAATACCGTAGCGTTTTTTCTTTAATGATCATTTAATGTTTCTCTAGATTTTTTTCTCGAGATTCTTTCCGACTTTCTTTTTCAAGAAGCTAGGTAGCTGCTGCTCGGAGCTTCACCGTACTTTACTTTTGGAAGGTCTATTGCCTTAATTTTTACGGGAAGAAAGATAGGAAGATAGGAGAGACTTTTGATAAAATGGACAATAGGGGAGGTTCTTTTGTCGCTGTTAGGAGGATTTCTCAAGGCCTCGAGCGAGGCAATACCTGCCATTCTACTTCTGGTAACTAACCTTTTAGTTCCTTTTTATTTTTATTTTTTAATTTTCGGCGATTCACTTTTTTTCCCCCTTTTTTGTTCTATGAAAATATTTTTCTTCTCTATCTTCCTCACTGTACAAGTCTCACCGATCTGCTGTGTCTGAAGCTAGAAGACATCCTTTCTTTTAAAAACCTCTTTTTCTTTCTAGGCGAGTGAACTTTGGCTGTTGCCGGAAACGTACCCTGACTTATGTGTGCTATGCTCAAATTTATCTTGGTGCGTTTTTTATGGTTAATATAACGATTATTTTGCTGAGGTTTTCTTTGATTTTTTGGATTTTTTTGTAAAGGATTTTTGGAAATTTTGATTCTGATATTGAATCAATAATTCGGGTATTCTTTTTTATGTTTTATCTTTAATACTGTTTTTTTTTCCTCTAGAGGTTGGTTGGCAATTTATGAGATAATTTATCCAATTTTATAGTAAGAGCTTTCAGGCAAACCTAAGATTAGCGGGCATAATTGCATGACTTAATGTTATTCCGATGTTCAAGCATTTTGCGTGAAACAGAAAAAATAAAAATAAAGATAAAATAAATAAAAAGAAACTGTGTTTTATTCTATTTATGTTCTAAGATCTACGAAATTAAACTTAATTTTCACTCATTCATTAGTACGTTTTGAAGGCTGCTAGATTCATTCCAAGTTTTCATGAAGCAAATTCCTATATCTACCCATACATTGTATACTGTCCACTTTTTGTTCACGACTCAAAACTTTCTTAGTATTTCAGTTCGTAGGACGCAAAATCTGTCACTCATGGAAAAAGTCTGGGCCTCATTTAACATTATTTCATTCCATCATATGTACATCTCTTGTTTAATGACTTTGGCGTATTGTTGCTTTCACTGTTCTTATCTTTGTTGGAGATAGTCGACTAGCATTTTTTACTGCTTTCTTTTGCTTTTGCCGTTATTAGCCACTGTAGTGAACCATTTGAATCCGTGGTTGTCTTAGGTACAAATTTCTAAGGCAGTTAAAATGAAGACTTAGGAATCCAATTTCATAGAGTTCTTTATTTTGTTACAGCTGAGGCTGTGGCAGGATCAACGGCATGGTTGGGTCGTGGTCTTTCTTGTGTATGTGTACAGAGCAGAGAGAGTGATGCTCGTCCATCATTTGATTTAACCCCTGCCCAGGTAATGTTTATGATCTGGTCAACCCGTTGATCTCTACCAGTGTCAACTATGATGGTTATTTGCTCATTTCATGTGTTCATGCTACTTGGTATTCCATTGATTGCTTTAACTAATGATACCTCTCCTGTTGTATAATGCTGTCATCCGAACCCTAATTTTGTGTTTAAACCCTACTATTTCTGTAGATGTCATATACATACTGTGTTGATATCGTTTTTGTGGCTTTACACACTGACCATTTTCATGCAACATGATTACCCGTATAGCAGACCAATCTCTTGACTCTTGCGGTTGCTTAGCAACATTATTGAACCATGGAAAAGTGGCATACTTTTAGGCTTTTGCTGTATTAGTTTATTTGGTTAGTTACTTTTGTAGTATCATTGTCCTTGTATTTGCCTATTTCTGCTAAATCTCACATATCTTTCTAGCATCATTTTGATTGATTTTCATAGAATGTTTCAAATTTTCTCTGCTATTTTACTTTGCTGGAATAAAAATGTAATATTGGCTTTCATGCTGTCAGGAGGAATGCTTGCAGAGGCTGCAGAACCGTATAGATATTTCTTATGATAGTTCAATTCCTGAGCATCAGGTGCCCGTTCTAAATGATGCCATTTGCACTTGGGTGCAATTCTGGATTCTGTAATCACCAATCCTGGCTTACTAGTGTTATTCTCTAACTCCTTATTGCTGTTTTATTTTACAGGAAGCATTAAGGGCGTTATGGAATGCTGCATTTCCAGAAGAACTACGAGGTTTAATATCTGAGCAATGGAAGGAAATGGGGTGGCAAGGAAAGGACCCATCTACAGATTTTAGGTAGTGTAGTTCCCTCCTACTTCCATTTGCCTTTTCATTAGTGCATTTTCTCTTTCCTTGAATGACTATTTGTTTCGTAAGCACTTGAAACTTGGATTTATCTCACAGGGGTGGTGGTTTTATATCCTTGGAGAACCTATTATTCTTTGCTAGGAATTTTCCGGTATGTGCATTTAGTTATCTTGTGTTGCTTGACCCATAATGCCTTTCTTTCCTTAATTTTCTCCACTATTTTGCATGCTACTTTGTGAATGGAAAATTTAGAAGGGTACTTGGAACTAAGTATACATGCTATATTCATAAAGATAAAAGAACTACAGGAATACATGCAATGATGAAGGTAAAAGGAAAGGGGGTGGGTGGGGGCAGGGGGATGATCCACATGAGACTAAAACAGCTCTTTCAATCCACAATTTTGTTCCTTAAAATCTAGATTTGGTTTATCTTTCGATCTTTCTCTGTTCATCCGATCCTAAGGTGCTTCTGAACATCTCCACACAGAAATCCTTCAAGGATCTTCTTTGGAAGCAGGTAGGTGATCGGTCTGTGTGGGAATATCCGTTTGCTGTTGCTGGTGTGAACATCACCTTTATGCTCAGTCAGATGCTTGATCTTGAAGCAGGTATGTATCCTTAAAACTAGGAGGTGATATGCTTGAATTAAACCAATACTCTTTTCTGAATGATGGACATAATGGATAATTATATTCCACTGGCACAATCTTTACTTGTTTAATTACGAGTGTACTATTGGTGTGTAGACATGCACCAATTTAAGCAATTCTCATTTTCTTTTATGAGCATTCTCGTGAAGATTGCTATTTGATGCCTTTTATCAGTTAACAATGTGCTTCAATTCTACAGTCAAACCAAGGACAATTGTAGGAGCAATTTTCTTAAAGTTCCTTTCAGGTAATGTCAGTGTTCTTCAATCCAACTCTACAGTTTATATAAAAGTTAGCTGTTAAAAATGAAAACCATGATTGTGCATTTTTTTTCCTTTTGGTCTGGATAGAAAATGAATCGGCGTTTGACCTTCTCTATTGCATCACATTCAAGCTAATGGACCATCAGTGGCTTGCTATGCGTGCATCCTACATGGACTTCAATGTATTTATTCTTCAACCGGAAAAGGCGTCGGTTATTTTATACCTTGTGTCGTGGTCCTTTCATTACCCTTTTTTTGCTGAAAAGTATGCTCTTATTCCGAATAATTGTTATGCTTTACAGACAGTGATGAAGGCCACACGTCGACAACTGGAAAGGGAGCTTCTACTTGAAGATATAACACGACTGGAGGATCTGCCCTCGCATAGTCTCCTTACACGATGATGAGAGGATGGATTGACAAACACTGGTGGTCCGGTCCTTTTACAAACATGTCTTTTAAGCTTTTGACTAGATAAAATGTATATGTGCTTTACTTCAAACAAGTGGTAATGGTGTTCAGATTTGATTTTTCAGAAATTGAGGATTTCAGATTTTTGTCTCTATAAGCTACATACGAAGAAAAGATGCGACTATCGAGAATTCTTGGATCGTGTTTCTCATATTGTTATCAATGGTTCAATACATTTGACGTAATGGAATGGAAAGAACTACAAGAAAACAAGTGCAATATTAGACTGATGGCATCTCATTCTCATCCAAAGTTCAAAATCATTGTAACTACTACTACAAACATAGCCTTAGCTCAACCATTTAAATTGAACAAAAACAAAAGGGGATAAAGAAAAAGGAAATGAAAGCTATTTTGAGGACAGAACAAGTGAAATCACCACTCCACATGACACACCTAGTACGGAAGTGGATTATCGGTCTTCAAATAGGCTTGATCTTGAAGTGGAGTGAGATGAGAGAGAATACGAAGCACTTCAAGTCCTGCAGTACATAAAACGCCAATCAGGTCAGAGACAGATAAGCAGAAGTTACGAAAACCAAAATTCGGGTGTCGGTGTACGCAAATGAGCATAGGAATCAGATAAACTATTGGAGATAACATTTAAAGCTCTTCCACCACCTAAAAAAGTCGGGTCAAATTCCAACCATGTCAAGGCATCTAATTTTCTTTAATCTCCAATGTTGGATAATAGGATTGGTAAGCTACACACACTATTCCCCAACCTTAAGTTTGATTCACTAACGATCCCAACTATTTCAGTAATTCGTTTCAAATAGACATCTGAAAGAGGAGTTACGCTAGCCTTTCAGCATTGTATCTAAAGGCAAGAAAGAAATCGAGTGCAAAAGCAGAAGTAAATTAGCAAAAATCAATAGCCGAGTGTCCATCCATGAAAACAAAATCATCTTTGTTTCAAATTACCATGTTAGAGAACTAAAACCATCTCTCTAAACTCATTGAATCAAAACCAAAAGGCCGAAAGGCGATCACAACACAAATGATACAAATAGAAATGCAGAAGGCAATCACAACACAAATGCAGAGAATAAAATAGCAGATTGACAATGTACATTAGCCGACCTGAACCAGATAATAAAATATATGCGAAGCCCTTCAGGATCCTTACTGCTCTGAACATCAACAAGGGACCCAATCTTTGAAGTAGTGAAAGAGATATGCTCATTCCCCATCACAATCTCGAGCTCCTGCCGTCCAACACGGTCAGGTTCCGGCCAGTTGTTATCATCTTCCCTCATGATCTACATTGACAAAACAATAGAATTGAACAATACCAGAAACCATAATCAATAAAAACTGCAACTTTATACCATAAGACACATAAATCACCATTAATCACAGAAATAATCACTTATCAACTAAAAAAATCCTTTAACCTATCAAAGAAAACATAAACCAGCCGCGCAATTCGATAACAAAAGATAGCAAAGACTAACTCATTATTTGTACAGAACATAGATAAAACAAGGGGAAAGAATCTAATCTTTTTCCACTACAAATAAGATGAATAATCCCAAACCCTAGGCAAATTTGAATTAAAGAAAAAGTTGTAAGGAAAGGGTTTAAAACGAGGGGACCTCGCTCTCGGTGATGATGCGGCGGCATTCCTTGAGAACGGCAGGGGTTAAGAAGACCTCTTTGCGGATCATGGTGTCGTTTTTGTAGTTGGAATTGTTAGCATATCGGAGCTTCCCGTCCGGCCTGAACTCGAACTCCAAAAACTCGTGCCCGAACTTCCCTTTATGCCCTACATAGTAACGGAGGTAAAACTCTCCGGTGTCCACTTCGGCCGCCATTGTTTTTCCCTCAATTTTTAGCTCTCAGTTGCTCGAGTAAACAATGAAGAAAACAAAGAACACTTGCCGATTACCGAAGTAGTAGAAGAGATTTTAATGGATATCTAGAAGGGTCTAAGTACATAGATTGGGCCTTCAAAGTTTAGTTTGGTTTGGGCTTTCTGTCATCTCCTTCCTTAATCTGACTTGACTAACGATGCCCTAATAATCATAATTCGAAAGAAATGATAATGGATGGTGCATATTCGAATATTTTAGATTATTAAATCTTTGGATAATATATATTTTAGATTATTGTATTAATTGGTTATGAATATTTTAAGGTTAAACTATATCCATGTCTACTTAATAATAAGAGATATTAATGTGATCATCAATCTTTGATTTTATCGATTAAATCACTTCATTATTCAAATAATGTCAATCAAATTATATGTCTTTAATATTTGGTAGAGGAACTGACGTGATAGTTAAATTAAATATAATTATACATTTGATCTATTGACACATGTCATCATATGATTAGAGGATTAAATTTATTAAATTAAATTAAAATTAAGATAAAATTGATAGAACATATAAAGAATGAGGACCAAATGTATAATTATAGCATTTTTAACTACCTGTCTTCCATCAAATATTAATATTAGGGTCTGGATCCAATTACATAGAGCAAAACTTTTTAGTTTTACACCATTATAGGATCGTTGGAAGGGAGAAATCAAATGTTGAGATTAACAGTAGGAAATAATAATATATTTTTCCTTCATTCAATGATCCTAAAAGGGTACAAAACTAAAATTTATACACTATGTGTAAGTGAATCCTAACCCTTAATATCAAATGAATTGATTGACATCATTTAAATAATATGATTAACATCATTTAAATAATATGATTAACAAATTAAAAATCGATGAAAAAAATTAAATCTTCTCGTAATTAAGTGACATTGGGTGTAGTTTATCCAAAATATAGATATTAACCCGTTATTATCCAACATGATATTCACGCCAGTGGTAGATTCGGAAATTTAAGGATGAGGTCAGAGGCGGATTCAGGATAAAAATTCAGGGATTACATAAAAATTCGGGCGTATCCCAATTCCCACAAAATTAAAAATAGGTGTTTGATTCATGGGCTTAAGGTTTGTGTTTTGGGTTTGATCTCTTTTTTTAATTTTAAATAGGATATTAATTTTTTCCTATAATAAAAAACAACAGTTACACTTGTATTAATTAAAAAAATTAACATTAAGTAGACAATTTTGAGTGATTGCCTGGGATACCTAAGGCAACTATAAGGTCTGCTCTTGGATGATGTCCAAAATTTTAATTTTCTTTTTATTAAAATAATAGGTATACAAAAATTATAATTTTTTTTCTTAATTTATTAAACTAAATTTAACTACATTTTTTAAATAATAGAATGCACGCTTAGTGCATCTGCCACTGATTGACGCTGTGTAGCCTCGGGGGAAAAAACGTGCTTCTATTGTCTGGTAATTAATAATCTTTTGGACTTTATTTGATGTATGATTGACTAACAAAAGATACCCATATTTGATAATGATGTTAACTGAACTATTCGAAATACATTAAGGTGAAATTACCGTTTTACATTTAAATTTTATATAGTTTAATCATTTTACTTTTTATAATATTATTAGTTAATTTAAGCAATTAATACCCTAATTATTTTGATTAAAAGGATGACATTATTTTTTTAGAAACAAAATATATTATTAGATAATTTTAAACTTCTTATAATATTCGGTAGGTATAATTTATATAAAATATAACGATCTAATTATTAAAATATTAATCATTATAAGAATTAGAGAAGTGAATAAAACTAAATAAGTAAACTATTTAGAAGGTTATAAGAACATAAATCAACATCTCTTGTTCATAAAAGGAAAAGTAGAGTAAAATTCACACGAATTTGAATCGAAAACAAAAGCAAATAATCCAATAATCGAACTGCACTGTCTGTCCCCTAGCTCATAATCGCAAGAACGGCTCCCAACATGGGCCAAAAGGCCAACATAAAACCATAGTTCATGATGCTAGGAGCAACGCTAGGCCGAGGCGATGGCCGTGATGGTGTCGAGTCACTCGGCGTTGTTCCGGGGGTAGTAGGTGAACCAGATGGAGTCGTGTTGGTAATGCTCAATCCCACATAGTGTTGGAAACACTATTGGGAATGGTATTTAAGGCTTGACATTCCACTTCCTTGTTGAGTGATAGAGAACAAGGGGGGCTCTCGCGCACCGCCGCCGCCGTCGTCCGTCGTCTCGTCTCGGCTCGGCTCGGCTCGGCTCGGCACGGCACGCTCTCGGCTCGGCTCGGCTCGGCTCGGCTCGTGGTCGTGGTCGTGGTCGTGGTCGTGGGTCGTGGTCGTGGTCGTGGTCGTGGTCGTGGTCGTGGTCGTGGTCGTGGTAATACGTGTCTTCGACACGTCCGCACGGATACTATCTTTAGAGAAAATTCTTGAGGAATTTCTCTTTGAAAGAAACAAATGGAAAATGTGAAAGATATCAACTGATATTTATAGGCTGCTGAGGACTGTTTGAATTTCAAATAATAACGCTGAATTATTATTTTTTATCAGAAATTAAACAGTTTATTCCTAAATTAAATCAGAAACGTTAAGATGTACCTGGACTGATTTACAGCTTTGTACAGAGGAGACAAGCTGTTAATATCAGGAGTTACAGGAGTTATTTGATTTAATTCCAGGGGTTACATGATATAATTTCGGGAGTTATAACGCTGAATAATGATACAATGAACCTGGACTATTTCTGAGTCAGGTTCTCTAGACGTTTCAGCTGTTACAAATAAAGGTTTAATCCTGAATTTTATGGACGATTTTAACCCTATTTCTAGCCTATAAATAGAGAGCTATATTCAGCTTCTCAACTCACTCCAAAACTTTTTTTACAATTCACTTACAAATGTTTTCTAAAGTTCTCTCCGTGAGTTTCTCTCTGAGTGCTTTCCGATCAGAAGTACAATACCACCCAGCAGTCCACTCCGGTTTCGGGTGTACGGAATTTGGAGCGACCGTGTTAACCTCGGGGGACGGTCCGCCTACTGCAGCGATTACACACATCGAGGCAATTCGTTTCTAAGGCAGTGGTTCTTACCACGACACGGTTTACGAATCTGTTCTTCTTAATTACTGTTTATATTTTCAGTCAGTGCTAACGGTGTAGTTTTGCAGTTCATATATCCAACAATTTAGAAACGAATTTCCATAAACTGCAATCATGTCGACACCTTTGAGCAAACTCATTCCCGATCTTTCCAAGCTCGATGCACTTGATGGAAAGAACTATAGAAGGTGGTCCCAAAGAATTCTGATATTCTTCGAGCAACTTGATCTGATTACGTGTTGCTCAAGCCACCACCTACCATGCCACCAACCCAGCTGTCGGTAATGATGCGGATACGATCCTCAATGATGATGCCTTAGCAACTGCCGCCGCGTTCTCGCTACCTACGAGAAATACGAGAAGGATAACAAGACGGTACGAGGACATTTGCTCAGCCACATGTCAAATAAACTATTGATATGTTCCTTAGAGAAAGGAGTGCCAAGACAATATGGGACACTAGAGAAAGGAGTGCCAAGACAATATGGGACACTCTCGACAGAAGTATGGTGCGGATGATGCGGGGATAAAGAAGTACGTTGTCGGTGAATGGCTCAAATTCCAGATGACAGACGACAAACCAATATGGATCAAGTCCATGACTATATGAACTTAGTCGCTGACATCGCTGAAGGGATGCAAATGTGTGAGGTGCTGCAAGCCCATGTACTCATTGAGAAGCTGCCCAAGTCCTGGTCCGATTACCGCAACTCTCTTAAGCATAAGAAGAGAGACATTCGCTTGAAGAACTTGTGGGCCATATGAAGATTGAAGAAGCCAACCGTTTAAAAGATAAGCTTACTAATTCTATGAGTAATTTATCTTTTAGAGCTAACTTGGTTGAGTCTAAATTTAAGAAGATCATGAAACGTGGGAATCAAGACAAAAAGACGAAACCACAGAAGGCTACCAACTTCAAGAAGTCAGGAAAGGCCAACCGTAAGGAAACGTTCAAGTGTTATGTCTGCGGTTTACCTGGCCACAAAGCTTACCAATGCCAACACGCTCAGACCGCCAAAATGACAACAAGCCACAGATGCACGTGTAGAAGAAGATGATGATATCATTGCTGCGGTGGTCTCAGAAGTTAATCTGGTGGAGAACAGTTCAGAATGGTAGTTGACACTGGCGCTTCGAAGCATTTCTGCGCAAGGAAGGAGTTTTTCACCGAGTTCGAGGATGGAAACACGGTGAACGTGTGTACATGGGGAACTCTAGCAGCTCTGAAGTGTTAGGCAAAGGCAAGGTTTTACTCAGCTGACTTCTGGTAAACTCTGGCTTTAAATAATGTTCTGTATGTACCTGCCTTGCGTAGAAATTTGATAAGTGGGGGCTTCTGAATAAGGCAGGCATTAAGTTAGTTTTTGAGGCAGATAAACTTGTACTTCCCGAAATGGTGATTATGTGGGGAAAGGGTTTTTAAGCAATGGTTTATTTGTCATAGAAACTCAATTTAATGAAAATAAAGCTACCACTTCTGCTTATATTGTTGAATCCATTGATATGTGGCATGCTAGATTAGGACACGTGAAATTCATGCTTTAAAGAAATTATGAATATGAATGTTCTGCCTAACTAGACACAACTAGCTTTAACAAATGTGAGATTTGTGTAGAAGCTAAACATACTAGACCTCACTTAAGACTGTTTCTAATAGAAAGACTGAACTGTTAGAACTTATTCATACTGATCTAGCAGATTTTAGAAACACTGAAAGTAAAGGAGGAAAACACTACTACATAACTTTTGTAGATGATTATTCAAGATATACAAAAGTTATCTCCTAAGAACTAAAGATGAAGCTGAAAACTTCTTTCTTATTTATAAGGCAGAAGTTGAAATCAGTTAGAAAGGAGAATCAAACGGGTTAGATCTGATAGAGGTGGTGAATATGGATCTAATTTCTTAAAAGATATTTGTGAAAAAATGGCATAATTCATGAAACATCAGCCCCCTATTTTCCTCAACAGAATGGTATAGCCGAAAGGAAAAATAGAACTTTAAAAGAGATGATGAATTCTTTACTAATAAGTTCCGGGTTATCTGAAACATATGGGGGGAGGCCATTCTATCAGCAACTCATATCTTGAACCGAGTTCCTCATAAGAAATTAGATTCTACCCATATGAATTGTGGAAAGGATACGCTCCTAATTACAATACCTGAAAGTGTGGGGGTGTCTGGCTAAAGTGGGCTTGCCAGATTTTAAGAAGTCCACCATCGGACCTAAAACCGTTGATGCAGTGTTATAGGGTATGCTACGAATAGTGCTGCATACAGATTCATGCTTTTACAAGATTATTCTATTTGTGAATCAAGAGATGCTGTTTCTTTGAAAATACTTTCCTTTAAAGGAACCGAGAATAAATATTGGAACACAAATAGAATATATTCCATCAACTTCTAGTAATCCTGCTAGGTCTTTTGAACAAATTGATTTTGAGCCTAGAAGAAGTAAAAGGCAAAGAGTTGAAACCTCTTTTGGACCAGACTTTATTACTTCCTTATTTCTGAGATAAATGATTTAGACTTCATTTCAGATCCTATAGCTCAAATTTTTCTATTAGATGAGGATCCTAAACTTTGAAGAAGCTATAAGATCTATCGATGCTAGTTTTTGGAAAAGCGCTGTTAATGATGAACTAGAATCGATAATGTCTAATCATACTTGGGAATTAGTTGACTTGCCTAAGGGATTCAAACCAATCTCCAACAAATGGGTCTTCCGGAAGAAACTAAGGCCAGATGGTTCGATTCAGCGGTACAAGGCAAGGTTAGTCGTCAAAGGGTTCACTCAAAGGTTTGGTTTAGACTACTTTGATACATACTCTCCCGTTACAAAAATCTCAACGATTCGTGCATTATTTGCACTAGCCTCTATTCATAAGTTGCAGGTACATCAAATGGATGTTAAGACTGCTTTCTTGAATGGGGATCTAGATGAGGAGATTTACATGGAGCAACCACTAGGTTTGAAGCACCTGGTATGGAAGGCAAAGTTTGTAGACTCAAAAAGTCACTCTATGGACTTAAGCAGGCTCCTAAACAGTGGTATGAGAAATTTCATAAAACTATTCTTAGTTTTGGTTTTGTTGTGAATGGTTTCGGATGCTTGTGTGTATTCGAAGATGTTTGAAACTGAATGTGTTATCATAAGTCTTTATGTTGATGACATGTTGATTTTCAGTTCTAACATTGAGTCCATTAACAAAGTTAAAAATTTCTTGTCCACTAAGTTGAGATGACAAATTTGGGAGAAGTAGATGTAATCTTAGGAGTCAAAGTTACCAAAACTGAGAAGGGATTTCTTTATGTCAAGCACATTATATAGAGAAAGTGCTAAAGAAATTTGACAGTTTTGATGTCGTCCCTGTTCGAACTCCTTATGACCCTAGCATACATCTAGTTAAGAATAAGGAAGTAGTGTTTCCCAAACTGAATATGCTAAATTAATCGGAAGTTTAATGTTCTTAATGAACTATACTCGGCCTGATATTGCTTATGCCGTGAGTAGACTAAGTAGATATATCATAATCCGAGTGGTGAGCACTGGATTGCGCTTAAACGCTTACTAAAGTATCTTAAGGGTACTGTGAATTGGAAACTTGAGTTTGTTGGCTTTCCTGCGGTATTGGAAGGATATTGTGATGCCACTGGGTTTCTGATAATGATGAGGTAAGCTCTACAAGCGGGTATGTTTTACTTTGGGTGGAGCAGCGATCTCGTGGAAATCATCAAAGCAGACTTGTATTGCTCGTTCTACCATGGAGTCAGAGTTTATAGCTCTTGACCTAGCTGGGCAAGAAGCCGAGTGGCTCAGAAGCTTGTTAGCAGATATTCCGTTGTGGGGAAGACCGACTCCTCCAGTTTCATTGTTGTGTGATTCACAAGCTGCAATATGTGTGGCTAAGAACCAAGCTTACAATGGTAAGAAAAGACACATTAGCATAAGACATGAATCAGTTAGACACTTGATAAAGAATGGAGTGCTCTTTAGAGTATGTGAAGTCGGAAAGGAACCTAGCAGATCCACTTACCAAGGGTTAAGTCGGAAGCTGGTCCTAGATTCATCGAGGGGGATGGGTCTAAAGCCCATTGGTTGAGGAATTCATGGTGGATACCCAACTTAGTTATCTAAGTTCCATGTGGTCAAACGAAACCATGGAAAGACTCATAGTGCACATTCTACTGCCTATCCCTATGATGAATAATGTGCATGCCCAGGATGAGCTTAATTGCTCTTAATAAATTCATAGCCCAGGCTTTGGGTGGTCTTAGTGAGAAAGACTTGATGAATTTACCGATTTTGGCTGAATATCTATTCTTAATAAGTTCATAACCCAGACCGAGTGGGTAGGAATGATGAACTTACCGACAGAAAGGTTGAGTTTGTTAAACTCTTAATAAATTCAAATCCAAGTATTTGGATGGTTCTAGTGAGAAGGAATTATTGAATTTACCGATAAATGAGGTTGAATATTTATTCTTAATGACTTCTTAGCCCAGAGTTTGGGTGGTTCATTTATAATGAACTTGAAAAAAGTCACCAAACCCTTTGTGAGGTTGAGCTATTATAAAAGCTCTTAATTATTTCATATTCCTTTTTAAAGGGTGGTTTATGTTGAGATAAACTTGATGAAATAACCTATGTAAGTGAGAAGGGTTAGCCGCCTTCTATGAAAAATGGGACTGTTTTTCTAGCACACTTACTAGAATCCTGAGGTAAGATGGCCAAATATATACGTTTGTATATATATATCTTACACATCGAGGACTCAGGTGGATGAAGGGGTTAGTTGTGTTATGAGTTTACCCTGATCTTAGAAAGTTCCAGACTAGTTTCACTTATCTAAGAGAAGGATTGTCATCATCACTATGTACTAGTTCCAGATATGTTCACTAGTGCTTAAGCAACTAATCTCGCTATTACTCTTCTGGAAAGCTTGTTTTCGAGTTTCAGAAGATTTCTTTCGCATTAGTGGGGGAATGTTGGTAATGCTCAATCCCACATAGTGTTGGAAACTATTGGGAATGGTATTTAAGGCTTGACATTCCACTTCCTTGTTGAGTGATAGAGAACAAGGGGGGCTCTCGCGCACCGCCGCCGCCGTCCGTCCGTCTCGTCTCGTCTCGGCTCGGCACGGCTCGGCTCGTGGTCGTGGTCGTGGTCGTGGTCGGTCGAGGTCGAGGTCGTGGTCGTGGTCGTGGTCGTGGTCGTGGTCGTGGTAATACGTGTCTTCGACACGTCCGCGCGGATACTATTTTTAGAGAAAATTCTTGAGGAATTTCTCTTTGAAAGAAACAAATGGAAAATGTGAAAGATATCAACTGATATTTATAGGCTGCTGAGGACTGTTTGAATTTCAAATAATAACAGCTGAATTATTATTTTTTATCAGAAATTAAACAGTTTATTCCTAAATTAAATCAGAAACGTTAAGATGTACCTGGACTGATTTACAGCTTTGTACAGAGGAGACAAGCTGTTAATATCAGGAGTTACAGGAGTTATTTGATTTAATTCCAGGGGTTACATGATATAATTTCGGGAGTTATAACAGCTGAATAATGATACAATGAACCTGGACTATTTCTGAGTCAGGTTCATCTAGACGTTTCAGCTGTTACAAATAAGAGGTTTAATCCTGAAATTTTATGGACGATTTTAACCCTATTTCTAGCCTATAAATAGAGAGCTATATTCAGCTTCTCAACTCACTCCAAAACATTTTACAATTCACTTACAAAGTGTTTTCTAAAGTTCTCTCCGTGAGTTCTCTCTGAGTGCTTTCCGATCAGAAGTACAATACCACCAGCAGTCCACTCCGGTTTCGGGTGTACGGAATTTGGAGCGACCGTGTTAACCTCGGGGGACGGTCCGCCTACTGCAGCGATTACACACATCGAGGCGAATTCGTTTCTAAGGCAGTGGTTCTTACCACGACACGGTTTACGAATCTGTTCTTCTTAATTACTGTTTATATTTTCAGTCAGTGCTAACGGTGTAGTTTTGCAGTTCATATATCCAACAAGTCGATGGGGTGGACGGTGAGCTGCCACCAGCTGCTACGACATTGACTGCAAGCTTCATGCCGCCTGCACAATGTCCTATGGTTGGGCATATAAAATACATCGATCCCGGACTTGACAGTGTGATGACCGTGCTTCCGTCGTTATGAGTTCTTAGAGCATTGCCGGTATTGCAATTGTCGTAGTCGTCTTTGGATACTTCATCCACCGAGTGACTACCATCATAATTAAACACTACAATATAAAAAGGATTACATAAACATAGTCATATGAAAATTCAGTCAATCATATTTAATCAATAATAAATTTATATGCCATTCAAATGTTTAACTAACACACTCAAAGTATGGTAAAAATCATCTTTATCACTTAAATAACTACAAATAATGGTGTTATCAATTTAGAAATAAACTATAAAAATGACCAAATTATGTCAAATTAAATAGAGGGATTAAACCCTAACATTTTTTCATAGTAAAGGGACTGAAACCATAATTAGACCAATCAATTAAATCCTACTGCATGTTTTGATGAAATGAAACCATATTTAAGCAACTTACAAAGCGTGTCGCCAACGGTGAATGTTTTCCCTTGAACCCAACTCTCGTAATCTCCGCCACTGGTCCAACCGTTGCTGTCTCCGACGATATATTGCACGGCAAGAGCTGCCGGAGCCGCCAGGAGAAGGAGGAGGAGAGCTGCTGCTAAACCCATGTTTTAAGTTCAATGCCTAATTACTTGGAGAAGGAACAAAGACAGCGAAGGGCCTATTAGCACTTTACATTGTTTATATAGAAGGCTCAAGGAAATTTTGGACAATAATTTATAGAAGCAAAAGTCGAGCACTTTCTCTCATCTTCCTAGTAAGACCAACAATTAGTGTTAGTTTAATTTAAAATTAATTGATCGATTTAATTAATCATTTTTAATTATTTGAGGTGATTACAATGTAGTATATGTTCAGAACTTTCTTACTCAACTGATAAATTACACCCTGTAGAGGTAACAATTCGAACTCATGACCTCTAAGAAGAAGAACATTGACTTTTACCGTGAAACTTATGAATTAATTAGATTCTAACAACACTGAACTGGTGTAATATTTATGCGGCAATTTTATGTCTTAAACAAGGTCTTAATCAAAACCTAACCCGTCGGCCGTTACATCACAGACCTAATGGGGCGAATCAAGTCAAACAATTAATATTTGTATATACATTCATCATGGCTTTCCTGTATGGTTTGGTTATGCAATAGCATGATGAACTCACCATATCTGCAATATCATATTGTGAAGATTTTGGAGTGTTAGTATTGAAAATGAAGCAGTTGGTAGAACATGGCCTGTCAGTTGACCTCATCAAAGCCACCTAATAGAAGGTTCCAAACTTAATATAAAACGCAATGTGGATAATATGGATGAGTTGAAGCCAATTTCTTCAACCCTTTAGCGTAACGAATATGGAATTTGAGATACAGACGTAATCGGTTTGGTAGTGGTCACAATGGTTGAATACAAGTCAAACGGTAATTTGTATTTTGGGCCATACTTACAATTAATCTTTTAGATAGATGAATCATCAAACAATTTTAGTGATAAATATGAGTCTTATTCTCTTTAAATATTTCAGATTCGAACAATTATGTGTACATTATTAATGATTATGAAATATTATGAACAAATAAACTGTCACAATCATTAATAGGAAGATTACAACTCCCAGACACCGAACAAATTCCCTAGGACTGCTATAACTAGCATGATATAGACGACGAAAAATATGACATTAGGCACTACGTTCCAGGTTGGCTCAGAAATTCCTGGTGAGATAGAACAGGTTGCAACAGTAGAAGATGGGCAATGGACCTTATACTTTTATGAATCATCCACAGCCAAGGAAGAAGGTGGTGTAGGAATAGTTTTGAAATCAACAAGTAGATGTCTAGAACTGCTCTTAGAAAGAGAGTCAACCGATTTGCTACCTCACATCTTCACACGAGGAGCAGCTTCCTAATCGACATCGGTCAGCACCTTGCCCCCTTCCATGACAGAACTAGAGAGCCGGTCTTTTTCCCGCCCCGACAGAGAAGGTAGCAGCAAGCCTTACGTTAAGCAAGAAGGAACAAGAAGTCTCATATGTGCGATGACCAATTCCATTTCATTAATAAAGAGGCAATGCACTAGTTGGAAAAACATCAATTCACCAATTATAGTGTATAGACGAATGGTCTCTCTCACTGGACGATCTCAAATCGGCTTTTTTCTTTAGCATTCGGAGCGTGGATATCGTTAATTTAATAATGGATTTCAGAGTTTATATATATATATATATATTGATAATTCAAATAAATAATTTCAAAAAGAAAAGTATACATAGATTGTATATACATAATTTATTTTTGAAGTATAATTAATTTAAAGTTTATGTTAAGTCGCATATATATCATGTTTCAGAGAAGAACGAGAGTATTAATTTTACATAAAAAGGAAAGAAGAGATTTTAAAATTTAAAAAAACGTGACGTTGAACATCCTATTAAACAAGAGATTCTTTATTCAATAAAAGTTGGTATCAGAACGACCCTTTAAATGTTTGATTTTATGTTAAATGTCTCGATAAATAAAGTATCACATTATTAAATGTGATAGAATGTTGTGCTTCAGAGAGAGGAGCTATTAAAAAGAGAACTATTTAGATGACCAAAACAAATACTCAATTATAGTTTAATATTTTTCTTAAATTAAAAATGGGTGGCTTACATAGTACTTGTAACCAGGAATACAAATCACACTTACGGGTGATTGGGACACTTATAGTGTATCCATGGCCTGGTCAACAAGAAGCAAATTATAAGCACGAGGAAAAAGGCAATTGGAATTGGACCATAAGGGAAATTTTACCATAATATTTATTTAATTAAGTGGTTTAAAAAACATAGCTTGAGAATAAACACTAGTTGTTATTTAATCAACAAACAAACAATCATACATTGTACAAACCCTTCACATTAATAAGTGAGCGGAAATGAGAGAAATCATTATGTCCCCTACTTATGAAGTCTTGTCCAACATGAAATAAGGTTTTGCAACGGACGAGTTAAGAACCACTTGAATCTTACACACCGTGCCGCCACCGGTTGCACCATACTGAAGAGGCTCTTTATGAAGAGCAGCAGCCACTCTTCTGTTCAACTGGCTGTCCTTGGATCTGCACCGTCGGAGGCCTTGCATTGTTCATGGCTGGTTGGCTAGCCATTCTGCATTTAAAGGCAAATTTAATGAGCAACTAAAACACACTAAGTATCCGACAATCGATAGGAATCACGACTTTGTGGTAAAAGTTCAAAGAACAGTTCAATGATCTGAACTTTCTTGTATAAGAGTGAATGATAAACCTAGACAACCTGAAAATGCCATTCATCAGCGCATTGTTCTACAAACCACAATAACTTATTTTAGCCTAATTGTATTAGTAGCAACTAATATTACTAAACCTCCCAATTGAGTGGTACAGTATGGTAAGATTCGGGTCAGGTCAATTGGAGTTTTAAAATTTTTGGGTTATTTCATGTCGCTGACTTCTTATAGTCAAATCAGGATAGATTGGGTTCAGCTTAATAGATAAGGATTTTCAGGGTCAGGTCAAAAATGACATTTCAGATATTACTAAAACTATTTCGGGAAAAGAATATGGGTACCTGTCCTTGATGGAAACAGCCATGGCCATGAAAGCCTGTTCCACATTACTGGCATCTTTTGCACTAGTTTCCATAAAAGGTATGCCAACTTCATCTGCAAGTGCCTGCAAGAAGAAAAGAATCAATATGGTGAAAGGGATGGAGTAATGAACAAAACACACCAATAATTACCAATTTATAATCATACAGCTTTTCCTAGGAATAAAACCGCAATAAAGGTAAAGAAGAAAATTTATGCTTTGCATGTGAACTAGCAAATACCTTGCCTGCTTCGTATGACACAACTTTATTTGCTGTAAGATCACACTTGTTTCCAACCAGTAGTTTGTTAACATTGTCACTAGCATAGCGATCAATTTCACTCAGCCATTGCTTGACATTATTGAAGCTTTCTTGGTCTGTCACATCATAAACAATCTAATACAGGAGCCACAGGTAAAATGGGGAAAGATATTAAAACTTTTAAATAAATAAATGAGAATCATAAATAAGAAGTGGAGAAATAAAAGAAACGAAATGAGAAACTCTAGAAAGGAATAGATCACCCACTATTATGCCATGAGCCCCACGGTAGTAGCTGCTAGTGATTGTCCTAAATCGTTCTTGTCCAGCAGTGTCCCACTGAACATTGAATCAAGGGAAAATTGACTAGTTAACCATCAAGAAGCTAAAAAGCCGAGATTGCTAAGCGTCAAGGTTTATGAGTAACTTTGAAGGACTATATTAATAAAATTACGATATACAAATGGGAAAATAGCAGCCAGAGAACAGTAGCAGTAGGGAAGACAACTCATTCTCCTACAAGGAATATTACCTGGATGAACCTAGGATAGAAAATATTCATAGAAATGAATAAAATAAAAAATAAAAAGCAGTACAGCATGCAAAAACATACAATTTGAAGTTTAATAGTCTTCCCATCCTGCTCCACAGTGCGTATTTTCTACCAAAAGAGAACAAGAGGAGACAAAAAGTTAGAATAATTGCTATAAATTTTGGCACTTAAAAGTGGACTGTTTTCTCACAAAATCAACCCCAATGGTGCTTATGTAACTTTCTACGTATGAATCATCCTGCATTAAAGAAATTACACAATGATCAGTACCAAGGTTCAATCAAATCATAAAAATAGTTCACCACATGAAGTTCAAATTCTCTCACCATTCATGGTAAATGCAATGTAACTTTTTTAAAGTGAATATAACAATTAAAGGTAATCATATAAACATCTAGAATGTGCAACAGAACTCCAAGAAGCAAAGAGAAATACTTTATGTCAGTTTAAGTAAAGAAACTTACAGCAAATCTCAAAAGCAGACAAGATTTTCCAACACCTGAATCTCCAATAAGCAGTAGCTTGAACAGATAGTCACTGAAAAAATGTGCAACAAGGTAATATTAACATAATTCTTGATGTTGTAAGCACATGACATCTCCAAATATTGCATAGCAATGAAGTCGATTTCTATAAGTGAGGCTTAATCCCCCAAAGTCAACAGAGACTTTGTCAGAAATCAAAACTAAAGTTGATATCGTCGGCACTAAAAACTCAGAACACCAAATTGCTTCCCAAAGATGGAAGAACCCATAAATTTCCAAGTGATTATCAGTTGAATTCTTAATTTTGGTTGGTGCATCAAATTAAAATGCATTTCAATTACATTCAAATTAGAGCAAGTGAGCACATGTTTCACATATAGATTATTTTGGGAAAGATAAAAGACATCAAACCTTAATATATTTTTATATGATTAAGAGTTCCAGCCAAAATGAATTCAAGTTTTTACATCAAGCACAGACCATAAAGGGCGTGAATAATTGAAGAACACATCAAAGCTCGCACCCTCTTTTCACTAAAATCCACAGATAAATTCCAGAGAGAGAAAAGAAAAAGAAAAACATCTAATTATCATCAACAGATCCAAAACAAAATATCGAGAATTTTGACAATTAAGGGTTCAAATATTTTTTTTATGAAATTTTCGAAACTAAATCACCAAATCAGGAAAAAAGAGGGAGGGAAAAGGATTATTAGGACAACATAGCAACAAAAGTAAAAAAATGCCATTAAATACGAAATAAAAGAGAAAACATACTACTCGGGATTCATTGTAGGTGAAGAAAGCAGAGAGATCGAAGGCTAGGGTGGCCGAAATCCAAATGAAACTTCCCGGAGACAGATCACAAGGATCTCAGACTGATTCGCCGTAAAGTTCCGACTGACGTAAGATGAAGAAAGACGGGAAAAAGGGGGGAAAGGCAGAGATGAAACGACACGCAACGCAAGTCTCCACTCCCAAACTTTGAACCAGAGTATAATAGAACTGAAGTAAACGGCAATTCTTAGCTGGGAAAATACACTGGAGGTCACTTGCTTATGAACACATGACCATTTTGGTCACTACCTTTCCAAATATCACAAAGTATATAATTAACCGTTAACAACATCAGACAGTATCGTCAATACTAGAAGGTCAACTATAAGCAAAATATAAAGGCGACAAAAGTGATAAAGTAAATTGAGCCAAATTGTGCATAGCATTATTATCAGATCTGTGAATACCTCGAACGTGAATATGACTGAGCCTGGAACAAACTACCAGCATTGATCAAGTGGAATCCAACGCTATATTTATCAAGCTGGACGATGATAGTTGACGCACAATGTTGACAACGTCACTCTCCACCTGCACATGAGGGTGTTGCAGAGCAATGGCCAGACGAATTCCAGACGTAATCATAGCAGCCTCGGCAACTCCAGCGTCGTAGTCGTAGGGACCGATAGAGGAATGTCTTGAGACTCCACCACCAGACCATGATGACCATTATGACAGTACAATAATTATAAATTTTATATTAATTTAATAATCAGTTTATAGTAATTTGATACAATTTAATAAATATTTTATAATAGTACAATAATTTTATGAATTTTAAAAATTCAGTGACCAAAACAATTATTTTAATATAATTTAATAACCTATAGTATATTTTACTTTTCTTAGTTTGGTTTTGAGAAATTTCAATCTGGGGGGTAGGCAACAAAAACAAAACGATTTTGGAAATACGAGTATTGGATCTGATCAAACTCCGGTTTGGGGCTTGGGTTTTGGAGTTTCTTTGTTAATGGTCCAATTATGATTTAATCCCTCTATTATATTACAATTTATCTAACAAAAAGAATCAATTAATTGTTTCATCAACAGAAGGGTTTGATTGATAAAAAAAATCTGTGTAAAAATTTATATAAAATATTTAAAATAAATTTTATACAAATTTAAAAGAATATTAATACTGTTTTACAAACAAACTTTAAATTCTCTAACTCCGTCATTATTTATAAGTACTCAATTAAAGATATTTTTTTTATAAAATTTCAATTGAGTTTTTACTTTTTTTTTACTAAGGACCTTTATTTTTCTTTCAACTTTTAACTTTTGCATATTGAAGCCGTGCAAAACGTGTTTCTTTGTCTTTCGACATAGCAAGTCATTTAGTATTATATATATTTTGAAAAAAAATTAAATCTATTCTTATTTAGAGGGGAAAGGAAGGGGAATTCTAAAGAAGAGTGCTTCTAGTGGGTCTAGGATCCATGACTAAAAAAATATGATAGAATAAAGATGAGCAGCTTGACCAACTAATCAAATGGTATTACTCTTATTCCGTACTATTTTAATACCTTGTACATTTTAAAAGGTAAATAATTATTCTTTTAACAAAGTAGTATTTAAGGTACATTTCATATCTATGCTTATTAGTCACCTAGATGCATGAACATCTCTCCCTGCCGCGTGACCCAATTCAATGAAAATGTAATATTAAACATTGCTCAAAGATGTGATGCTGATGGATTAATTTATCCCATGTTAATTTCGTTTCATTTAAAATAGATAATGTCTAGTTTGTGTTGTCGTAATCTATCCAATCTTCAATAACAGAAATTAAGTAATTAATTATTTTGGCAACCAACGTTGTATTGTATTGTATGCATATCAACGCTTTGTAAAGAAAATAATGTAATCAATAGAAAATTAATTTATTCCTTCATCATTTCCGCCTATAGGATTGTTGATGGGAATAAATTTAGTTTGTCGGATGCAAGCGATTTATTCTTTATGTTTTAGATATCGAGTCATCGGTAAAAAGACGATTGTTGACCAGTACGTGGATGAAAGGAAGAATGTATTGTAATGATTAAGGAGGAGGATTGGTCGGTTATGGGCAATTCGTCCCCTTTTTCGGTCTTGATTGGAGATATTTGTAGTGGTCTTTGGTGCATGTGTTAGTCGCAAGATTATCAAGTCTATATGTAGGTTGATAGACTAGACGTATTTGGTCATCAGCCTTAGATTTCACTTTAGTAAGTCACGTGGACTCGTCAGATGTATTATCTATGTATTGTGCATGGTGGACGCGAGCTTTTAGAGACTCTAGTAAGCAAAGAGGTCTATGTAAAGACCAATTGTTGATGAAATGCCACTAGATCCGATATGTCAGAGAGAGGAGGTTTTCGAATAACATATCTGAAGGTATAACGAGTATGTTAGGATAAAGTACACAAAATTCACTAAATTATACAAAAATATTTTTTAAATTATAAAAAAATGTATATGGTATTTTGTAAATAATTATTCTATACATAATGATGAAATTAGAAGCATATTTTGCATGCATGTAATTTGACGTTTGAAATGTTCAACATGCTTTTTTCACCTAATTAGAAACTTTTCTTATAGGGATGGGGAAGTGAGAATGACACACCACTAGTAGTATATCGACTTTTACGGAAAAATGATTGCTTTTGGTTGAATGGATCGGCCCCGTTATGATTAGTTCATTCACCAATACCCACCACGCGTACTAATAGGCTTCCCGTATTATTGGCCGGAAATATTTCAAGTGATGCTATAAGCTAATTTTGCATTTTCGACCGTCATTATTTCACATGGATCACATCCCTTTTCATGCCATACCTTAAATTAAACATCTTTTTAATTACATCACCTCCGTCCACGCTTCATTGTTAATTTCCGGTTTATTTCTTTTAAAGTAAGTTTAGTTGTTATATCTAATATAATAAATATATCTTAACTAAATGTATATATATTTTTAAGGACGGATATAAAATTTTATGATATAGCATAATATTATAAATTTTTAGGAGAAGTAACGTATTATTAATAAAAAGTAGTAATAAAACATATATAAAATATACATGAATTCGAAATTTTCAAAAAATGATTATTCTCACCTGCCATTTTCTCAACCCATTCGTATATATTTTTTATGTTTAATATCGCGAGAATAACTGAAATTAATGTAAACATCATCTAAATATTTTGATTATTTCAAATAACCTTTTGAAAGTGTTGTACTTATAACTATAAAATGTGAAATTATTAAAAAAAAAACTATATAATGTGAGTTTCAAATTGAAAATTATAAAGACATGCTATTCCGAAAATTTAGTGAACATTTGGATTACTATCTTTGAAGATATGCGTTAGTAATCTATTGAATTATAAATAATCAAGCATATTGTTAATCATATGGCCATTTTTACTGCCTACTATAATAAATGAAATTATTTTTTAATAGTTTAGAGTAATTATAAAGTAATATTTTTTTATAATTTTTTTAACTAAATGACAATGTATATATATTTTACAGATATAATTGCTCGATTTAAGATATCTAGAAAGAATTATATTTCCTTTCGCTACTAAAATCACTTTATGAATTTTAAATTAAATGAAATTTAAGTGGTAAATTATAATAGCTTGGTCATGGGCGAGTCATTACCCTTTTATTTTATTTATTTTTTGTGCTGGTGACGGCTTGCTCAATTCGTTGCATGTAACGTAAGTACATAAATTAGAAATGATGAATGATAATCTTTTCCTTTTTATTAGCTTTAATTTGGATGACGATGTACAAAAATAGGGAAGATAAGCCTTTTTTTCTTATATGTTGTTGCAACCATATCCATTATCCAAATCAATTTTTATTAGATACTCTAGGTTTTATGTTATTCTAGTTTGATAATTGTTTTTTTATTTAATTATCAATATTTAATTTATTAATTGATTAATGTAAAAATCTATTATAAGAGTATTTTTCTTGAATTTATTTTATTCACAATGTCTGAATTTAAAATACTATTAAAACATTATCATATCTCAACCAATTATTTTAAATATTGAGTTAAAACACGTGATAATTTTCTTTTTAAATAATTTGATGTGATTACAACGAAATATATTTTCAATTTTTTTTGTGTTGATGATAATACACTCTACGGATGCAACTATTCGAACCGAAGTCCTCTAGAAATAATAATATTATCTTTTACCTATTAAAGTCATTCAATAAATTCGACACATGATATTTTTTAATCTTACTTATAGAATAAAAATGTAATACTCCAAACATCGGGTCAATGACTAAAATGTAAGGATTTAAAATTTAGTGGTTAAATTTAACAAATTGAAAAGTTCAAGGATTAATTTTTGTAAATTTGTGTCTAGGACTTATTAGCAAAGATGGAAGAGAGGAAGGACATTATGGTCTTTTGTCAAGAAATGAATTTAAAATTCATTTTAAAGGATTTAAGGCATGTGGGAAATAGAGATAAGGAAGACAAGTATGGAAACTGAGATATTTTCTCTTCTTCACTATTCCACCGTAAACTCCATTGTTAAGGTAAGTTGATTTCAAGTTGGTTGTTTCTTTAAATTTTGGTTTGGTTTTGAAGCCTTGAGTGGTATAGAAGCTTAAGGAAAGCTTAAGAATGAATAAAGCTAAGAGTTTGGTGAATTAATGATAAATTGGTGAAATGGGTTTTTAAGGGATTTGATGAGATGGATTAATATTTGGATTTCTAATGATATATTTGACTTGTCAAGGGTCTAATTAAGAAGTTTGAACTATTAGAAAGAATTAAGAACATATTTGAATATTTGGTGTGATTTTTAGTTCTAAGTATTCTAGGGAAAATTTAGATGTTATAAGGGGATTTTTGGAGGTAAGTTAGCTAGGATAAGTGATAATAATTTTGAGGGTATGAATGAAGCTAAAAGCAAGAGATTTAGGTGAAGTGTGGGAAAATTTTGAAATAAAGAGGTAAAATATGGGTTCGGGTATCGGTACTGGAAGAACAGTACCGATACTATAAGGTTAAAATTGAAGGAAATAGTTTGAATACGATGAACAATATCAATACTAATTGAAGTAGTATCGATACTGATATGTAGGTATCGATACTGATATTGAGGATGAAATTCCATCGATACTGAAGTGGGT